CCCTATACCATCCCCATAACCTCCCGGTACCCCCCCTCCATCCCCAAAAGTTTCTCAGCGGACTTGGGCTGTACTCAGCAAGGGCAGTACAGCCCCATAGGCAGATAAAAAAAAAAAGTAGATGGCTGCTTACTGACGGGTTGGCAGACAGCCGACTCGGCCCATCGGTCGGCTGCAAAACAGTGGGCGGTCACGATAGGTGGTCAGCGGGTATGCAACCCTGCTCCCCGCCTGGCCCTCGCACCCCTAAGACCCCTTCCTGGAAAAAAAACTTCAGAAAAGCCCCCAGAAAACAAGACTGTAGAATGGGAGTTTCAAACACCGTTTGGCTGATGATCAACTCACGACTCCTGACTAAGCTTGAGAATAAGAAACTGTAGAAACGCAATGCAGACACTGTCGGGCTCAACGGCTCATGAAGTGCAGGAAGACATGCTGGAAATGAACTGCTGATGCTTCTCAACTTCAGCACACATTGGCGGAAAATCCTTCCTAGTATCTGAATTTTTGTGTTGTGTATATACGAGTCAATTCTCACAGCATCTGACTCTTGTGTCTGGAAGGCCATGGATGGACAAGTACGGGCCAGAATTGGAAAGGGGGAGAGCTAGAGACGGTAAGAACGAGAGTGTGTGTGTGTGTGTGTGTGTCAGACACAGAGAGAGAGAGAGAGAGAGAGAGAGAGAGAGAGAGAGAGAGAGAGAGAGAGAGAGAGAGAAGGGGGGGGAGTTGAGGAGGGAGCAGGGGGAGCTCTGGGTCAGGGGATATGAAGGGATGGGCATCTGTCTTGGCCATTTTCATGTGGATTCTGCACAGAGACGAGAGGAAGAGTAGGAATCAGTGTGTGGAGCAGCTGCTTCCTGTGCTGTCACAAATATCGAAGTCCGTTGTGAAGGTAGATTGCAACTGTTGTAGGCGGACCCGAGAAATCCAGCTGTGAAGAAACTTTAAGAAGGGCTTAACCAGAAAAATACAATCCCAATGTGATACCAATGGGCCTAGCTCGGTTGGTACACCCGTGAAGATTTGAAATGCAGACATGAGTTTGAAATTTGAATCCGGATGGGAACTCGATGAATAAAATCAAATAATTCCGAATTACCTGGGCTGGCAAGTTCGACTGTGATATCTCAAGGCTGCCACCCATTTGAAAAAACAAACAAACGAAAATTCCCGGTGTGAAGGCGACTGGACTGCAACCATACGACTGCACCTTGTCCAAACAAACAAACAAAAAATCCCGGTGTGAAGGCGACTGGACTGCAACCATACGACTGCACCTTGTCCAACTGTTAGTCTCTCTGATAGAGTCATAACAGTAAGGGCATGCTCAGACTTGCGATTTCCTGACTACCGTCTTCCCCCGAACACAACGCACCCTCATTTTGACTGCATTGGGGCGTAAACATACCTTTTATACGTTCATTTTCAGGTTTCGTTTTGTTCAGGAGAAGACGGTATATCTCACTGCAATTACGGCCAGACGAGGATGGACCCTATTGCAATCACATCCAGAGCTCAGTCAAAAACGTCCTAGTGTGAGTATGCCCTAAGAGTGGGAAAAGGTACCTTTCCATGATTTGGTCTTCTGTGATGCATGCGGTCATGTGAGACCTCTATGTCCTCTGTCTCTCCCCTCCTTGCCTCTCCACCCCAAACAGTTTGCACTCCTTCCTGTTGCGAGAACCCTCCTCTCTCTGCTCTCCTCCTCAACCTCCCAACAACTATGCGGAGATAGGGGGGGGAGGGTTTTCGTTGATGCCGAGGAGTGCAGGCAGTCATTGCGCACTGAAGGCGTGTTAGGGTACCAAAGAAAAGAGAGGTAAAGGGTGTCCCAGGAGTGTGCAAGGAAATATAAGGTGAAAGGTGGTGCACGATCGTGTGCTGTGCCCCCCCCCCCCAATGCCCTGGCTCCTTCTCTCTCCATGCTCCCCGTGCAATAGTCTCTTGCAAGTCCGCGCTTTCCTCTTTTTCCCGAGTGCAGATTTCCGTTTTGTTTTCATGTCAGCGTTGGTGCGCTCCACTTTCTGCTTGTTATGAATGCCATGGATGTGCTTTGAATTGCAGCAGTTGGTATCATTCAATAACTTGCCACACTCGTACGAGTGTGCACTCCATTTTCTGTTGTGGAGCTGATTCCAAATGAGCGTCCAAGAAGAGTGTGGCTTGCATGTTGTGATCTCCTTGGAGTTTGTTTCGCTCACGTGGGGGGTAATTGTTCCTGGTCCTCTGGGTGCTTTGGTGATTGGGATGGAGTGGAAGTTGTGGGACTTTGGTTTGCTCTGGCGGCACAGGCCCAGGAAAATCTTGGCATGGCAATGATATTTACTCTAGTTAGTTCCGCTAAGGAATGGCTGAGGGAAAAATTTAATCCAGAGAATGCAAGCTTGGTTCAGGACGAAGGCGGCCATGCAGAAGATGAGGAGGTTGGCCACACATCCATCACCCATCCCCGTCACCCATCCCCGTCACCCATTGTCCATCGCCCATCGCCCATCGCCCCATCACCCCATCGCTCATCGCCCATCACCCATCAGCACGACCATCCTCCTGTGTGTCTTTGTGTGTGTGTGTGTGTGTGTGTGTGTGTGTGTGTGTGTGTGTGTGTGAGAGCTTGGCTCAGGAGGAAGGTGGCCATGCAGAAGATGAGGAGGTTGGCCACACATCCATCACCCGTCACCGATCACCCATCACCCATCACCTAGACCATCCTCCTGTATTAGTGTGTGTGTCTTTGTGTGTTTGTGTGTGTGTGTGCAGCTGTGTTTATGTCCGATCAATCCATAGCAATCCAGCTATGCGCTCCACTTTTCCAGTGGTACACCAGCTCCGGTCATAACTAACCTATACCGCTTCACTGCGCACCCAACTTGTGCTCATGTGCCAAATTAACGCTACAGGACTATGCCACAAACAATTTGCTTTTCTTGTCCATAGCGAGCAGCATCCCTCGAGCTTAAATTAGCATCGCGTGCTACCGTCTTCACCCGTATACAACACCTGCACATTATCGGTGCATCTAGACTAAAAATTGCCCCAAATACAGCTATAATGACCGGGCGTTCTATTCGGGTGAAGATGGTAGGTGGATTGGTGTTCTAGCAGGGAACACATACCCTGCAGAAATCCAATTGACTTTGGCACAAAGTGGTATGTGGTCATTTGATCAAAGAAATCCTTGGACACGTCCGCTCATCCCGTCAGCTGAATAGCGAGATTGCAACTCCAAAACTCACTGGATCAGTTGCACAGCTTGCGTCCCGGGTATAACCTATTGGTCATGGTAATTTATTGAACGACTCCAGTAAGTGTCAGGCTATTAGTCGGCGATGCTTGCCAATGCTGTCGAATCAGTTGAGCCGGAGAATGAAGGAATATTCGGATATTAGCCTGGTAAACAATATCTACGAAATTCTACGCATTTTCCAGGCTATCTCTTGTACGCAACCTTAATCGACTCAGAACTGTTTATGGTGGCTTACCTGGGGTACCAGCCGGGCCGCCCGGGTCACCTTGTTTGACCAGGCGACCCGGCCGTGCAAGGACGAGGGAAGGGCCCAGCGTGGAGAAAAAAAAAAAAAAAAAAAAAACCGGAAAAAAAACCTATGTGATGCACAAAATTTAACTCAACAACTTTTGCCTTGGGGTCACATCAAAATTATTTACCAAATTTATACTCTAAAATAAAACATGAAATTAAATGAGTTCTTTATGAACCATAGTTGCGGCGCACCAGTGCGGGCGGGGCGGGGCGCACTGCACTGTGAGCTGGAATTCCAGCACGCGCGCAAAAGAAGAAAAAAAAAAAAACGTTTATTCG